ACGCCGGTAACAGATTTTAACCTTATTTTTATGGCAAACGAATAAGTTAAGTAATCTGCACAGTACCTAGTAAAAAGACTCCTTTATATAAACTACCACGCGTGTGTACTGATGTTTTACGATTTACTCTGTGGTATTTATGTACTCTCTGAGAAATATGGTTACATTTTCAAATGATAATTATCAGTTTATTATTATTAAGTTTATTAAGCTAAATATAAAACGACTAGTGAAATAATAGCATTAAATATTGTTTCTCTTTCAGGTAAGATTTGTAGATATAAGATTTATAATATACTGTAAACGTTTGTTTCTCGATAAACAATTCCTTTTCAGAGCAATGCAATTAAGTTTTATTTCCAAGAAATCCTATAAAATAAATAAGAAACACATTATATACTTATCTTACCTATCAAAGAGATGGATCAAGAAACACGAAAGCGTGATGAAATATTAAATGTCAAATTATTTTTTTATACTACCACTCTGTAAGTTCGGAGTTTAGTTACAAAATCAATACCAGTGGCAAAACTTGCTCATAGTTATTACTCCAAAAACTGGCTAATAATACAACCTACATGGAAATGCTTTGTTTTCCTTGTTGATTATATTTAATTCTTGAAAAAATTGGTGGCAAGTGTATTCAGCTAAAAGCTCATTTAGTATTAGAAGTTTAGTTATATAAATAACTACTAGCTTTCCGCCAACGGCTTCGCCCGCGTGGTACACACAAACTTCACCCTCTTTTTTCACCCAAATTTCTAAAAATCCTTTCTGAACGCTCACTTACACCATGAAAAGAACCCCTGTACCAGTTTTAATTTCTAGTTACAGTAGTTCAGGCTATGCGTTGATATATAAGTCAGATTTGCCTTTTATATACATAGATAAACAACCTTACTAGCAATTTATAATGGCGCAACTTTTAGGCAAAAGCACAAGTTGGACCAACTCATCACTACTAGGGAAATGATTTAAGGTTGCATTCTATGTGATGGTAGTCATCGGATATGCTTCATTAGTATTCAGATGATCAGCTACTCTTTATAAAGTATCATATATCTCATATATGCGTTTATGGTTCGAAAGCACTGCACAGGAAGTGTATCCGTCCTGTCTGTTTGTCACACGCTGCTTATAAACGTTATAATTACCTGATGGAGGTACTATTGCTCGTCGTTTATTTTTATTTATCATGTTTTATCTTATAAGCAACATAGTTTGAAATTACATTCGTGTAAAAAGTATACGGAAAAAACCGGCCAAGTGAAGGGAGCAAAAAAATCCTTTTGGTGTATGAGAGCCCCCTTAAATATTTATTTTATTCTGGCTTTTAGTATTTGTTGTTGAAGCGACAATAGAAACACATCAACTGTGAAAATTTTAACTAACTTTCACGGTTCAACCTGTTGACAAACGGACGGACAGACAGACAGACAGACAGGCTGCGAAGTCTTAGTAATAGGGATCCCGTTTCTACCCTTTGGTTATAAAACCCTAACAAGTATAAAAATAACAATTTTATGTGCATATACTTACCGCCTTAGCATAAACTGTAGCAACTACAAAGACAAAGCTGATCTAAGATGTAATGTTATAAACCACCCTGGATCTTGTCAATAACAACTTATACGTTTTAAGACAAACAATTGTGTTTATATTAAACAAAGCATGCACTGCTATTCTATTTTATTTAACAGTGTCGAAGGCAAGCGCAGGGCTATCTTAGCAGAGTCAATCAAATAATATTTACTTGAAAAAGTGATAAAAGCAGATAGAACACTACTGATATTTATGAATCTGTATTTAAGTGCGAACATATCAGGAACTAAAGGGAAGCAGTAAATGATTCCGGGCAGATTCGCGTAACACAGTTGTACATGGTCAATAGCATCTGTCACTAATGTAAGAAAAGTTGTCAATGTAACCTTCCAAGTAAGAAAAAATATAAACAAAGTCAGCATTGATGCTATCTTCTATTGAATTTTTAAAATATGCTAATATCCATCTGAGTCATGATTCCTCCCCACCCATTCATCGTTGCCCACTCTTTACAATAACATGAATGGATATTGTGCATTCATACCAAAGATAACAAACAAACCGTGTTTATTATTTTATATTGTGATATCGAATGCGAAACATAACAATACAGTTTTGAGTGCAGTTAAAAATAGGCATCCACATTTTCCTTAGAAAACGAACCGCAGAGAAGTTTAAGGTCAACGTACACAGACAATGGCTGATGTAACGCCGAATAACACTACGTTACGCGTCGCTTACGCTCGGCCCGGTGCACACTCAGCTCAAGGGCGAATTAAATGCATACATACTTACCTAATAATTGCACTTTGGTGTAATAATTTACACAGGCACTACAATTTTGATTATAAGTACTTAAATTTTTTTATTTATGTTTAATTACAATTCGGTGTTAATCTATAATATCTAACAGGAAAAACATTGAATAATTGCGCCAAATTTTATATTGTGTTCGTTACGGTAAAGCCAAGTCAAATTAAGAGATGGTGTAGATTTTAAATATATGCTTTATTTTATTAAAGAATGTTAAACGATCTTGTAAATAAATAAATTTCAGTATTATCTACTAAACTTCGCATACATTTACATATTAATACTTTTGTCGTTGGAGCCGACAATCGCACTCAATATGAAGCTTAGATACATTAAACTTGACTATCAATTTTCACATTAATGTTTTTGGTGGGACATGTATTACAGGAATCACTATTATATTACTTTTTAGAGTAAGGTAGCGTAATATTACAATAGTAAAAACGATACGAATTAAATTAGTTTATTAATTTTAATGTTCAGTTTGTGTCATCAAATACACAATGCCTGGTACATTATATAGGTGGCAACAATGCATTAAATAGTTAAAGATTTCATACTATTTCTTCAATAGACTTAAGCGACTTGTACAGTATATAAACTGCCGACCTATATTTTGTTTGCGGATATACACTATTTTGAAAATCAGAAGTAAGTTTTAGGAGCTATATTCAAAGCTAATCCTTACTTATATTTAAAAAAATAAAGGAACCCTTACAATTATAACAATTATTACAATTGTAATCCTTAAAAATAAATGCTTAGCTATTATTATTATTTATTATGATCTTTCTGTAAATACATATGTACTCTAGGCGCCTGAATTCAATTTATACTGGACCGTATTTTTGTCATGTGTATGATATATTTAATTCCAAGTTGAAAACTTTATAAAGAATGAATATTGTTTTAAAAATTCTATATAAATAACTTAAATAAATTATGCCGCTCAGTACACCTCTGTCTTAATTCAACCGCGTATCAACACTTTACTTTTTAGCACAAAATTACAACATTTTATGATGTAACGGTAACTCGCTCGGTGTTGATATTGACCGACAGAAAGCGGCCAGTGCAGCCTTATTATAAACACCGAAATTAGCTCTTGATTCACTGACAGTTTCGCGATAAAAACAAATACATTAAACGATACATGATGATTTTAATTTAAAGCGCATGATACCTTCATTAGTCATTCTTTAACCTGCCATTTTCCCAATATTACACCACCAGAATATATCCTTTAATACATTTCTTTCAGTAATAATCTAATATATCCATAACATTTTACTTTAAATAATATATAATATTAAAAACATTAATAACCGATGAAAAAGAAGAATACATATATGTAATTCGAGAGATTCGATGGCGTAGTGATTAGTTCAGCAAAATGGTAAGGCAATGGCAACAAGGACTGGTCAGGATAATTAGACCGACAAAAAGTCAGATCTTATCTTAAGCTGCTCCATGCTTCAGAAGGCATATTAAGCCCTTGATCCCAGCTGTATTTGCAGATTTTACCCTCCACTACTAATCGCCATTGGGCTCGGTGGTGGGTCATGGGCCTTTATCTCTTACTTAGTATCTTCCATACATAGGAAAAGCCTTTGCCCCAGAAGTAGGGACGGTTAATAGGCAGGTGATGAGGATGATATATGTGATATGTTATAGTCTGACACGCTGCTGTATGTAAATAGCTATTAATGTGTTCTAAAATTACTTGAAATAAGAGAAATGTTTATTACAATGTTATTTATAATAAAATAATATCATGAGTAAGCGGAACTCGAGTTTATTTCATACTGTAAGTGTTACTCAAATCATTTTGCGAATTTCATGCACATCTAAGTGTTTTTACAAGAATATAAGACAATATTTAATTCCATTTTGTGTATAAATAAGATTATAATTCGAAAGCTCTTTCGCTACAGATTACTGCTCCTATGTTACTGTAATCCGATAAGCCTGTATATTGAATATTGGGATCGAAAATGGCGGAGAGGTTATAAGAAATTGTTAATAATGCGAAATAATGCGATTTATAAATTTTCCGTATGTTTGTATATTTATGTGTACATAGTATAAAACATCAAGACTCTTCCCGCTGTCTGTTTGCTGAGATCTTTTAAACCACACAACGGGCTTTAATACGGTTTTCATCAATAATAGAAAGTAATTCAAGAGAAAGGTTTATACTAGCTTTTTTCCCGCTACTTTGCATGCCTAAATTATAGCCTATATCAACCCCGTCTGATGTAACTGATGTCAAAAGCAAACCAACAATTAAATCTTTCCTCTTTGTAATATCAGAAAGTTTAATTGGTAAGCAAATACAACCGTGAGTAACAGCTTAACGTGGCATTTTCTATAATAACCCTAACCGGAAAAAAAACCGGGCTCCTGTAAGGAGAGCTGGAGACCACGGCTTATCGTGCCTTCTGAAGTACGGAGGAGTTAGAGATTACACATTTTTGATCCTATAACCGTCATTTGCAAAAGCTGTTTAACCTCCGCATCGCAGACAAAACGCCCTAATCGTTGCGTCATCGAGTTCCTCGTTCATTCTCATCATCATCATCAGCCCTTTTACGTCCCCACTGCAGGGGCTCAGGCCTTCCTTATGGATGGTTAAGGAGGATGGGCCATGACCGTCCACGCTGGCCCAATGCGGATTGGAGGGTATTAACGACTGCAAATGCAGCCGGGACCAACGGCTTAACGTGCCTTCTGAAGCACGGAGCAGATCGAGATAACATTTTTTTTGGTCACCCATCCTGTGACCGACCCTTGCGAAAGTTGCTGAACGACAACGATCGTGGGCTGCGGCGCTTATCCACTACGCCACCGAGCTACTTTTTGTACTTTTGTACTAACTTATTTTTTATTATTCAATTTGACCATATTCAACCCAAGATAAAATTGTTTATTTTTTAATTTCAGATGTGACAACGCTTGCGATGGCAGCCACAGACGGCCAAGTAGTAGTGGCAGCCTCCCGTTGGTCTGATGAGGCCCACTACCTGCGTGAATTCGCCTCCAAACATCGCCTGCCAAGCGTCGCCAAGATCATCAAAGGCCAATATGGCGGTCTTGGCGTACCAACTCTGCCAAGTCCTGGCCTACAAAGCACAGCTCTTCTCATATCAGCTGGAAAAAGAAAGAAAATTATAGCTCAAGCCATCAAACTAAAAGAAGGGAGACGAATGGTTAGCATAGGACCAAGAATCGCAATTCCCGACACTTATAAAGGCTATTTCGAACTACTAAGCGAAGAAGGTAGAGCTGTTAGATGTATCGAATCAGTAGCAGAATTGGCTCGACGAAAATTAGATGATGGCGCCTTAGTTAGAGAAGCTGTTCGTGTTATCTGCGCTAAAACTGACTTAGATGGCAATGTTACCGCCGATGGGGCGAGAAACCTACCCGCCGGCGAAGTAATAATGCCGAGAGAGGAGGTTTTCTTAGGTAAAAGCAAATATTTAAAATGTACTGATACTAAAGGTGATACTGTACTGTTGAGTCTTGATCAGAGAGGAAAGTTTTCAGCTGTTGCCAAAGAAGAGAATATTAGCGGTGTGCATACAGCGAAAACGCTTCTTACAAAGAGGTTGCCTGTTACTGTGAGATTAGTACACGGAACACCACCAAGAGGACTAAAAAGTTCCAGTCACTTCGTGCCAGAACTAAGACTGCTTTCAATGTTTGAAGAAGACCACGTATTTGCGTTGCCATTACAGAAAGAAGGCAATGCTTTAATAGCTTTACCACTAGCTGCCCCCGTTAAAATGTTAAGATGCAAAAACGAGGACCAAATAAAAAACTACATGGAGTTCTCCAGACTAGTCGAAAAGTGTAATCGTTTGCTTGTCGACGTTGTTGATAGAATACACGTTTTAGACGGAAAACTCGGTGACCCTAAAAGGCTTTTAAACGGTCCTCTTCATGCGCCACCGTTGATTAAAACTGGTTACTTCCTTAGACGTAGTGCGTCTTCTGACTCAGCTAATCAACATAAGTATATTTCTCGACACAGTCACGTTTACAGTAGTCATAGAGACGAAAACACGATTCCTGATGAGTACGACGAAATCGATCAAATATACGACTATGTCAGAGGGTTTGCACCTCTTCCCAAGAACATCAAAGCTTCATATACTAATGAGCCCACCAAACATGAGTCAGCTCCCTCTTCACCCGCTCCTACGCCAATTCACATGCCTTTGATAACCGAAATTAAACCAGAACCACCTCCAATTGAAACTATACCAACTAAAAAGTCCATAAATCAGAAAGCAGAGAAGAGAACGCGCAAGGCGACATTACCAGTTAAAGAAACACCTGTCACTGTGTATAAAGAGAAATGTTCCATAGCGCCTCCAGCGGTTAACAATCTTCCTAAGCTGTACATTAAGAATAACGTGGTGAATAACAACAAAGGTAGTAGAATGGTGTTCAGGCAGAAGAGCAATTCGCCTACTAAAGAAACTCCTAGTCCGGTTACTAGTCCCGTACGCCCGATAACCAAAGGCGATTCTCCGATATTCAACATAAGATATAAAAGCCTTTCTAATATACACCGAGCTATGGAACTCGATGGTACATTAGATTCGAGTCACAGCGGTGGTAGAACGTCTGGTGATTCGAATAACGGGCCGAAGCTTCCAGAGAAGAGGTCGAGGAAGCTAAGCCGGCCTAAGTCTTTGACCAATCTTGTGTGGGAACTGAAGGGATCTCCTGTAGAGTCGGGTGATAAACCAAAATGTAGAGTTAAAAATGAGGGTTATAAGAAAGTCGGCGCGAAGCTGTCACTGGGCGCACAGAAGAGGGTACCGACGTTATATCTTTGATTTCAAGGTAAGACTTAAAATTATTTTCTATTATAAAAACTGATAAAGAAAAAAGATTTGATTGTTTGTTTCTTTGCATCGAAAAGGCTCCGAAACTACGGAACCGATTTTAACATTCTTTCACCTACGGAAAGCTACCACGGAGACATAGTTATAATTTAAACGGGAAACTAGCCGTTAACTCCACGGAAAAAATTACCTAAGACTTTTTATGCTGTTGAAAAGTAGACTGTCACTTTCGAGCCTCCTATTTTCTCACAAATATCATACCATAAAAACATATATGCGTACCTCTGCGACATGAAATAAAAACAAACAAAACATACTTTACCGTATAAAATATTAGTATAGATAACAGCTATTAAAGATCCCGTTTTCCTGCACTAAAGACACTTGACCAACGGGTCAAAACCTGGGATCAGTACATAATTGTATTTGTTCATTGTCTATTTTCCATTATTGTTAATAATCCTATTTATTAGTCATATACTTATCCATAATATACGTTTATTTAGCTTGTCTTGTTGTTAGAGGGCAAAGTTTAATCGACAGAGATAAATAATCGCAATATAAATTTTTCTATAGCAGGGGAATATGTTTTACAAAGAAATTTCAATATTTCAAAGGCTTGCTCAAAGAAACATATACTTACTATTCTACTGTATGCATCTCAGATGGCATATCACGACCCTCTGAGAGGCAGCCAATTGCAAAACCAAGGAGATGAGCAACCAGCCATAATCTATGCTAATGCCAGCCACAGCCTAGTAGTATTCCTTGCATAATCGAACTTTAAAATGTTCATCAAGATGTTTCACAGTTACGCTGTGACCATGGTACCCTCAAACCGAGAAAAATGAAAGAAAAATATATGTGCAATATTGTAATTTATATAGTTAAAACTAGTCAAAATATCGAACTTTATTATAAATCAACACTAGTCAAATTGAGTTCTTAAATAAAATAATAAAAAAACTTGATTACATGAACCTTACTAAATTATTAAATCCCTTTTACCTTTTGCTAGTAGAAAAACACCGACGATTTAGTCACTCATAGTAATTTTTACTGTCCCATCGATCATATTTTTATAGTATATGTCTTAATAATATATAGTATATCTCAAAAGAAAATTAGGTTCATTCTCGAACAGATTGTTTGATTGAATAAGTATCGTTTTATTTCACATTTCGAGAACTTTCCAGGTGCTTAAAGCATTTTTAATAGCGTTAACTCTTTCAAAAAATAAAGTTCGGAATACGATGTAAAAGATTTTGCTTTAAGAATTAAAACGAACTCGCAACTGAATCTAAAAACACTGCCTTACAACTATCGTACGTATATCTCATTAGTTTCATCATTATTATGAAAGGTATAAATGTTATATCTATTACATTTTGAAATTTTCTTTATAATAACTATACAATCGCGTTTTCTAAAATAAGTGTATTCAAAAATGCTTTTCAATAATAAATACACTTATACTTAATTAACAATGATATTATATTTATGAGTTAATTAAGCCATTCAAATGCGTCCATTAATGTAAAATACTTTTCTGTAACCGTTACCTTTGATAATTGCGTGATGAATACCAATAAATTGGTAACAACATCTATATGGATTGCTAGGGTTGCCAATTATATTGGATTTGTATACAAATAATTCATGTACCTCTAGTATTAACAAAGTAATGGCGTAGTATTATTGTCTATTATTATGGATATCTTTAGTTAATAATTTATCCCGCGAGTCAATAAACTGTCGAAAAATTGTAAACAGCAACAAACCATTTTTAAAATCATATTCTAATATGGTTACATATGATATTTTTAAAATATGAAATATATTGTGAAGGCAAATTCAATGTATTAGTGAACCTTATTAGCTTAGTTAATCTACTCTTTTCTGTTGTGAAATTGATAGACAACCCTGCTAATATCAGGTTCGTAAATACAGTCGCTGACCGGAGCCTGCAGGATGTGACGTCAGGATCCTTGATCCTGCACTGCAACGGTGGTCGGTAATTAGCTTGTTACCAGTTACCCGTCTGTGTGAAAGTTCGCTTTACAAGGCTGTTCCACCTTATTGACAAAATTATTATATTATATTATATATATATATATATATATATTATATTATTACTATTTGCCGCATTTATTTCTAGTTTAAAAGGTTTTTACCGTTGATTATTATTTTTTACAAGACATAAGCTTCTATTTACTGTATTCTATTTATTTATTTATTCTATTTACTGTTTTTTCTCTTTTTTTACTGTATTCTTGTTAACGATTATGTATGTGGGTCAATAAATTTCTTTCTTTCTTTCTTTCTTTCTATTTACGCAGGCGAAGTCGCAGGAAAAACAGTTCGTCTAATAATAATTTAAATCCTCCTCCTCTCCAAATCCTCTTGTAAGATTTTAGAAAGAAGACAAAATATTTGCCTTTTTCACAAACTAAATGCCTACCCAATATTTTCGTATTACCAATGCAAATAGTTTCAACAATTTATAAAATATATAAAAATATTTTTTGATTGTATATAGTCTATTCCATTAAAGATTCATACAATAGCTAGTTTAAAACTAAACTTTCTAAACACTTGATATTTACAAACAAGTGAATAACGCGCGAGAGTTTTGACATTTAGCTTCGAATAACACTCCGATTGCCATATATTAAGCGATAAATGTAGATGGGTTATTTTATTAACACAATACAGAATATGAATAGAATATTATATAACATTTGAATTACTGGAAAAATTAATTAATATCATTGTATCTGTTCTGTATTGATGAGGATATACTAAAAAGAAAGTAAAATAGGTGTGGATAGTTTTTGTGTTAATTACGGCTGATAGTTAAGGAAATATACAAAAAAGTTATGAACAGCTACAATATTATTTTAATATATCGAGCAATAAATTAACAACATACTTTATTGTAGTTTATATATGTAGGTACTTCAAATATTTCTGCTTATAAATTAAATTTATCAAAGACTAACATAATATCGAAAACTTTTATGACAGCTTATTGAAGACATTTAATAAGATAAATAATAATATTCCATACTATAGATACATATATCAAAACAGCGTCACGTCTACGCATAAATCAATTAATCTTTGCCACTATTGTTGCATCCTTCATGCAATATTCCTTAGCATTTAACCTTTCCAAGTTGAATATTTGCCGGTCGGATACATCCCGTATTCACGATTGCTTTTAGTTGCTTGAACGATTATAATCTATATGCAAACAAAATAAAAGCTTTTCCGGTATGGCATACCGACCTTTTTCGACTGCATTTACGATAAACCCGAGTACGAATTTATATACGTCACCTTTTTTCTCTTAGGTCACATCAGGTTATTTTAATAGCATTAATATTTTAAATCGATTGAAGAAATATGACAGTTTTATGACTATTTGAATGTTTGCACTATTTGAATATAATCATTTCATCTTCATCATCATATTTATATTTTAATAGGTATCTCTCTTTTGCATTATAAATAATAAAAGCTATTGAAAATAATATTAAAACTTGCTTATTGCTTTTATTCTTTCTTTTGTGACTGCATTTTGCATATTAATGTAATGAACTCGGAACAGTGAAAAATTAATATCACGAAATTGTGGATGCATTCGCGTGTCATGAAAACGTTAAGGTGAATAGCTAATGAATTATTCTGGAGATTTGCTATAAAACATGTACACGATAATCCATTTTTGGCATTGTTTAACTGGCTTTAAGAGCTTACATTCCTTTGCCTTTAATCAAATCACTAGCGCAGTCAAAAGCGTTTGAATATCGAACGACCTTTAACATCTTTATAAACTGAAGGAGGTTCACTGTCAAAAATCGATAAAAGATAAAATATTGTTTCTCCATAACTGAGAAACCATTTCTCTATGAATGTGAGTATCTGTAACATTAAAGTAATTTATAACAGATTCAGTATTATCATTACCACTGTTAAAAACGCATACATACTTTTTTTTTACATTACATGAACAGTTTCAGAGTCCTTGACTTTGAATCTCATCAGTATTTTTGGCATGAAAATTAGGTCGCATATCTGATTAATGGTACGAATTCGCACCTCACTTTGTCATAATCGACCACGCGATTTGCTACTCTATTATGCTGAATGGTAAAGGCGCAATTATTATTATAGCTAGATGATTATAAGGTGCGGTTTGTTTTCGTGCTGAAACAGGGTGAGGCACCCCACCCTAGACATTAGGGATTGGACTAATTAGTAATGAAAATTGTGACACGCGATGATGAAAAATAAAGATAGAAATTTGCAAGGCAAAATGGTTTATGGTAGTGTTCTCTTTGACTTTTACTGTAAGTAGTACTATTTTAGTGGAAAGAAATCAGTGGCTCTTTTGTTTATTTCATTTCTATTCTGCAGCACTGCAGTAGATCGATGGCATAGTGGATCAGTGTCGCGTCCCGCGATCGTTGTTGTTAAGCAACTTTCGCAAGGATCGGTCACGGGATGGGTGGCCAAAAACTTATTATCTCGTGCTACTCCGGACTTCGGAAAGCATGTTAAGCTATTGGTCCCGACTACATTTGCAGGTAGTTAATACCCTCCAATCCACATTGGGCCAGCGTTCTCCCACCAGCCTCCGACCCATCCTCCTTAACCATCCGAACGCTATATCATATAATTTGTCAGTTACGTTTCCTCATAATATGAATCGACCCTAAAGCTGTAGTTTCTATTGGGTAAGCATATGGTAAGCGCTCTAACTCTTAACGGCATTATAATTTAAGTTTTAGCTTGATTGATATAAAAGTAAGATAACCCTAAAGGTAAGAAATATTAACCCTGGTTTACTCAAAAATCGTATAAGCAAGGTAACCACGGCTGCACGTTAGGTTACCCCGATACGTCAAATTTCCTCTATTGATTTTGAAATCCACCTACAATGCTTTAAGTTTCAAAATCAAATGGAGAAATTTATCATTTTTGTATAGCCTGACGTGCTTGTTTACCGAACATACGTATATCATTCATTAATATTTTATTATTATCAAAAAATCGCAAAGATAAAATTTTATATATTTTTTCAATTTTCAATTTGTTGACCATTCCCCTTTTAGGTTGTTTAACCTGTTCATGTTGTTCTAGTCAGGATAAACCGATAGTCGATCTATAAATAACCATTGCATTATGTATTAGAAGCCACGGCTCTGTATAATAGGGCAAAACCCTTTACTTACCTATAAAAAGTGAAATAGTGGAAATCAAGATCAATAACAAGACATCTCTATGAAAGGAAAATTTAAATAACTACGCGTTTCTTAATGCTAGATTAAAATTAATGAAAAATATTATTTCGGCTTTTGCGTGGATTGCCTGCACTGGTAGCGAAAATTAAGAAGTGCTTGAAAAATTCGTCAGTCCTATTGAATCTCGGGTAGCTCAATGGTTAAAGTCGGTCGGATTGCAAAAGGTTGCGGGTTTGTGTCCCGTCTCGAAGTACCTTAAGCTGGCGGATATACTTAGCATTGTGAATGAAAAATCGATTAAATATAGGTAATAACTGTGAAAATTGTTTAAGAAATTCTCATATTTTGTCCGGAGAAGAACATACTGTATCTTCTCCTTGTTTTATTTAATGTGGAATATTCAGTTGCAAAAATTACATCAAATTCTATTAACATACTTTAAAATCAGTCGCTTGCTTCTGTAATGTGCCATTGCGCTTATAAACAAACATAAAGTGATACAGAATTTTACAATCGAGAACACGTCTGTATACTACAAAATAGTCAAACTTCAATCTATTATAAGCTTTAATTTGTTAATTTGGGTTTCGCACCTTTCTGAATGCAGGTTTTTTTATATAATAAATTGATGCGTGCACGTATACTCTATCAACGATATTTTTTATTTATTGCCTGGTAAAAAAATAGACAAATAGCAGACTTAATGCCAAAGAAGCATTCTATACCAGTCAACCGGTAATTGACATATGCTGATATTTGCAAAACGTTGTATACAATACGCTGGATATATTATGTTTTGGAAATATTTAGAGACAAAGTACATTTATATATTTACTACCTTACTTTCTTTATTTTTAAGGAATACAAAACAAATCTTCCGTCTATATTTGTCTCTATCTGATGTCGAATTGTAACAAACCCAAAAAGGAGATGAATAAATTAACACTGTTACCTTATAAAAACTAACGTTGGATATGTACCACACTGTTCTTTATTACTATTCAATAAAATGGACTTCACAAGTATATTAATAATAAAAAAAATACTGTAATTTACTTACCGTTACTTAATCTTTTCTATCTATATTAATATTAAAAAGATTTTTTGTTTGTTCGTAATGGAAAGCCTAATAAACACAAAAACTACTGAACCGATTTAAAAATTCTTGCGCCAATATAACGCTACTATTTGCATTAATTGAAATATCTTTAATTAATTATTTATAAACATAATAAATTAAAACAGGAGTTTACATATAATATAGGAGGATGAATATTAAAAATCAACATTAGAAACTAGTGAAAATGTATTGAATAAAAACCTTTATAATTACAATTTACATGGATTAAAAAATGTGACAAAATATATTTCGCTCACTGAACAGTAAAGTGGCACAACTCAAAACCCATTATTTCGAGAAAATGCCACAACATTGTGATGGCATCCCATAGATAATTTTAAGAAAAAATAAAAAACTTAACAGTAATAATATAATACAAACGATTTAACTGTTATGTTAAAATTTTGATTTTCACAATTATAAATATATTAAATTTTCATAACTTCGGAGAGCGTTTCTCGATATTATGGTTTTTGAGTTGTGCCACTGTACTTTTCAGTGAGCGATTTATACTTATTACAGCAACTGTCTCTGAAATATTATAAAATTCTTAAACCCCATTTTTTTAACAAAGTCAATATATTTATTTCAATATGTATTTTTTTCTTATTCCAGGAACTGCAAGCTGAACAAAGAAGCATCGACAGCAGAAAACGACATCATCATAACAAGACGATAATAACGACATTAATAATCTAAATTTAAACGCTTATTTATATAAATCTGTTGATCAAGCCCACCTTATGTAAGCAAAATTAAATATTATTCAGTATAATTATTATTTATAAAAATATAGCACTCTATGAGGCTGAGACCACACCGCGATAATATGCTGGTCTGAAACTTTTCAATTTAACACATGGGCATTTATACAAGCGCACGCATTATAGCTCAGTTACACTGACCAACGGTATAGCACGCGGAATGCGGGTGACCTCTGCGGGCTCATCTCATTGATTAATGAAATGATAACCAACCAATGAAAGCGCGTCACATATATTACCCGCGCAAACGGTATAGACTAGTGAAACAGAGCCATTAGGAACGAAAACCTACAGGGCGATTCTGTAAAAATCCGAAACCGAATTCAAAATTCACTCATGTATCCGAATTCACGTCATTGAAGAAATTCTATTGATTCCATTTTTTCCAAAATTGATTGATTTATACATGTCCCAGATATTCTATATCCTATGTCAACACGAAATTCACTTCACTAATGCCACAAAACGTTATTACTTTGAAGTTATTGTGACACCTGAGTGAATTCGAATTCGGGTTTGGATTTTTATAAAATCGCAGGGCTACAATGTCTAGTATTTTCAGCTAAACATACTAGTGAGGTCACAGCCTTAAAATTTTATTCGTCCAACTGCAGACTATTATGTTTGTTACCCCAAATTAAATATAAATATTTTTCATTTTTACTACGGATGGGCTCAAAAAGAACAATTACGAATACACTCTTAATACACAATAATTAAAAAAAAAAGTAAAATAAACTTATTTTTGATCTCTTTAATAATTATAAATCGTTATTTATAATAATAATGCCATATTAAGGTGTAATACTTCTTCGATGTTCTTATATTTAGAGTAGAATTAAGTACGATTAAACATAGTTTCTCGTTATTGGAATTTTTTTATTAAAAAAAAAAAGAAAAATTATTCGAAAATAAATTGTACCAAATAACAAGAGGTGCCTTATAACGTAATGTCATATTACTATGTGTTTTTACTTTTTGTATTTAGAATGGATTCTGGTTGACGGTAACAAAAAAAAAACATTCTGTATGGCCCTTAACAGCCTCATGTTAGTAGAAATACTTGCTACAAAACTATGTGGTACTGAGTTCGATAAACAGCAAAAACAAATTTTCTATAGATGTAATAAATAAAAGAAAAATAAAATTACACAAAACAGCATATCAGGTTACTACAAAAGGTCAATAATCTACAATCAATTTTGAATTTTATTAAAAAAGTATTGAAGTCTAAATAGACTTTTTATAGTAATCTGGCGTGCTATTGACTAATATACAAATGATTAGGTGTGGACTTATCTTCTTGAACTGAATTCAAACACTTATTAAAAAATGGGGACAGAGACTTAAAAAAAAATCTCCTTGTGTATAAAGGTGTCTTTAAACCTTAATGGACGGTTTGTGCAATGGACCGTTAGTGAAAAATGCTTAAAAACCCACTTTATCCCTGGCACTCTTAAATGGAATTCGAACCCTTCGCAATCCGAGCGAATGCCCATCTCAGAGTGCAAGGGACAAAGTGGACTTTTTAACCATTTTTCATTAAAAATATTTTTCAGAAAAGCATTGTGAATGCAAATATAATAATAGAAAGTGTCAGATCATTACGCTTAGAGCTTAAGCTGTTCACTAATTTTATCTGTCAATATTAGTACACAGCAGCTAATCTTACCAGAAATGTTAAATATCCATAATTAATTTTGAACTCTAAATATAAAGTGTTAAAGTTCAAATCAATCAGAGGCATTTTACATCTTTTTACAGTATAATGTAATGTGGATCATACGTGAGGCAATATCCATTGATTGGTTTATTTTATAGTTTTCGTCCCCTTTTTTAACAAGTTCAGATGTTTACTATATAAGTTTATTACTATAAAAGATTTTTTTCTCTAAAATATTTTGACATGCTATTAGAATTTATTAGCATCTCAAAGTAAATCGTTGCTGTAACAATAATTTTTTCAACCAGAATTATAATAGTATTTTTTTGGATAAAAATTCAGAAGCTGTCACAAAAAAAAATTAGATGTTAAATACATTTTTGATACCTATGCATTTATATTTTTTTACTTACAGTCATATTTGTTTTTAATTCTTTTATTGACTATTCTATTTAATTTGTTGTTTCTATGATGGTTATAAAAAAAGGAATCATAAGTGACCCTTTTCGATGTTAAAAAACTTTAAATTAATAATTCTAATTAAATAACTTTGAAGTGTGAGTATATTTAAATTAATACTCTTCTCGATTTTTTCATTTTTTATAACCATTTTTGTAGTTAAGTGTAAACGCATAATCTAAATTTCATAATTGACTCGTCAACGATAAAATTCTCGGAGTTTCAATATTCAAACCGGAACCTTAAAATTTTGAATCTTCGACAAATTTATCGATCGAATTACACTCTCTTATTTTTAAAAAATCCAAATATAATTTCCCTTTTTTAGTTTAAGCTAGGTATCCTGTTGTTCGTAATTCTTAGGATATTATCTATTACTGTCATTAAAATTAAGTTTTTGATTGATATTCCATGTCTCGATATTGTAATTCTTATGTAATAAATAAATAAACGAAATTTTACATTTTCTTTTCATATATAAAATTTAATTATAATTGTGACCTCATTATTTCGGGAAATCCAATCACTATTTTCTTTCACATAAAATAAAATATAACCTCTAAAATAACAATCAAATAAAATCTACCCCATAAGGTAATAATGGTTATATATTTTTAGTGCTGTATTTTTGAATTTTTGAGAATAGATGTAGTAAGCAACTGTGGTAAATGCCTGTCAACGGACAAGTTATACCTCAAGCTCTTCAATGTTTCAGAAGGCAGGATAATGTGTTGGTCACGGTTATAGCTCTTTACTGTAATCCTGTTTTTTTATAGAAACACCGACCAAATGCGAATCAAGCTCTCGCACGCAGATATCCGTAACGGCAAAGATAAATAAAATTACGTTTCTTGTAAGATATGCTCCTTAGATCCGTATTGTATTATTCTGTTTTGAGAATTTGTTGTCGTGGCGGCATCAGAAATATATTATCTGTAAAATTTCAACTGTAGGGCTTTCATTGTTCATTAAACAGCTTGGCGGCACCCGGACAGCGGAGTGTTTTAGTACTGGGGTCGTGTTTTAACTCTTCGGGTAAGGAATCCTAAAAACAATCTCGAAACGTAACAAAGCCTTTATTTCATTGATACATAATTTATGACGTGACAGCGTTGTATCGAATTCGAAGCTGTTTAAGAGAATAGCAGAGCTAGTGGTGGAATATTATTTCCTGTAGAGGAAAACCAGCATCTCTCTTCCTTTGCTACGACGAATTGGCTTTTAACTTGAAGACCCTGATAGGAACCTTCTGCTCCGAGCAAACACTGAAAAAAACTCTAGAGAATATAGAGTCCACCACACTCGTCGTATGATTTTATCCATAGTAACTGCAAAAGTGTAGGCATTAATAAGCTGATGTAGAATATTTTGGACTTATAAAATGACTTTCGTAATATTCGAACAAGATAATGTTATTCAAAAAATCTCAACACGATTTCAATTAGTAGGCTCTCAGCTGGTTGCACAAACGTCCATTAAAATTGTCATTAGTTTAAAGCCACATTGCCCATACAAATTTGACATTCATTAGAGTTTAAAGGAGTCATTAAACCATAATGGACGTTTGTGCAACAGACGGTTAGAATATTAATTCCAAAATACTGTCATTATCCCAAAGTATTTCGAAATTATTGTGTATGTACTGTTATAATATTCTATAGGTACTACATAATATTATAAAGAGAAAGGATTTCTTTGTTTATTTGAATTGAATAGGCTCCGAATCCTGTACTGATTTTCAAACTATCACCGACGGGAAGCTACGTCATATTCGGGTGACATAGGCTACAATTTATCCAGGCGAAGTCGCGGGAAATATCTAGTATCAAATATGACTGACGGCTTCAGTTCATTCACTACGACGTGCTAGGACGAAGAAGTAAGCTTCTTGGCTACGAAAATTATTTGGAAATAAAATACTAGCAGCGCCATCTAACCTTTCTCTACCAAACTTCGCAAAAGGCCATGGAAAGGCCTTTGAAAATGCTTTTAAAATAATAAAATAAATTGTCTCTCAACTAATAGATAGCGCTTTCTTATCCTTTACAATCTAAATACATATACACATATAACTCAAAGGTGATTGACATAGTGATCTATACAACGCACAACCCAAACCACTGGATGGATCGGGCTGAAATTTGACATGCAGGTAGATGTTAAGACGTAGGCATCCGCTAAGAAAGGATTTTGATAAATTTTACCCCCAAGGGGATAAAATAGGGGACGAAATATTCTATGAAACTTTGTCAATTTTAAACCGATCGGGCTGAGACTGCATGCATAAAACTACTATGACATAGCCATCCCCTAAGAAAGGATTTTGATAAATTCCACCCCTAAGGGGATAAAATAGGGGATGAATTCATTCAATATAATTAATAAATATTCGTAAGAAATGCTGCTCAAAGTAACTTTACCACGCGGACGAAGTCGCAGGCAAAAGCTAGTATAATATAGAAAGAAACCAATTAATACTTATATGCTTTAATTTTTATATTTATTTCATTATATATTATAATGCATACAATTAATATATTTTAGGCCTATGCTCAACAGCGGGCATCTTACGGCTGATGATGATGAATATATTTGAAAGGGGTAAAGTTTATAATTTTATATTTTGTAGAGTAACCTAGAATCAAGAAAATTCTTTCAGCTACGGAAAGTTATGCAGGTCACATAGGCTATATTTTACGCGTAGTAAGTCGTGGGGAAATAGCTAGAATCAAGTAAATAGTTAAACGATGATGGGAGAGACAGGTCTCCCTTCATTCCTTAACTATATATTTGTTAAAATAAATAATATATCTAACTTGCCGACTCTACAACGTGATCTCATCAAATATCGCAAAAAATCTCCATGACATCTCTAAAATGATATGTCACCTTATAAGACCTATAGTCATAGTTAGAGAGTTCGGCCATCACAATCCCGGTTGCAAGCGCCCAACTTCAAAAGAAAGTTCTTGAACTTGTTAGCCATCTTTCAAGTTATTAATAATTATTTTTCTAAATTACATATCAGTTTTAATCTTTAGAAGAGACTCTGTCTATATACATATTTAAATGAAACAATGGCCGCCCGACGCTTAAAATGCGATCGGAATGTTTGAATATTATTAAGATTTTCTTGAATTAACTGTCTTGTATCTAATAAATTAAGATTAGATTTGGCAATCACTAAATAAAAGTGTCAAGCACAGGGTAGTGTATATAATTTTTTTTTTTTTTCAAATAATAGAATCGGTTCAAACTTTAAAAAGTGAGAAATGTAAAGTCGGATGGAGGTTTTCTGTAGGTTATTAATTAAATAATAGCCACCCGATATCAATAGTAGTTTCTTGAATACTTAGTCGCTGTTAGGTATTATTTTTTTGTAGTTTGAAGTCGGTTCTATTTTTTGAAAAAAAAAGTGCTTTAGTGATATTTTATTAACGCTCGAAATATTAAAGAAATATATAAATATCTATATAAAAATATATCAACATAGTGAGAGTTAGGAAAGGAGATTTTGTTTATTTGCTCTACATTTTTTCAATGCATATCTATACTCATATTATTGCTTGTTTGTTTGTATTGGTGAGGCTCCGAAACTATTGGACCAATTTTTTAAATTCCTTACAAAAGCTAGAATAATATGCATAGTCTATAATTTGCGCAGGCGAAGTCCCTCGCGACTTAATACAGATAGTTTGATAGAAAAAAATCGATGCTAACATAAAATATAGATAACGTAATTCCTCCTTTCCGAATTTAAGTGAATGCAATACGCTATATTTTGTCTTTTCGCTGATATAAATATGTCATCTATGGATTCAGATGATATCTGATGAAAAGCATATTTTGTTTGATATAAAAAGAACTTCAAATCATGTTTCCGAAGCCTTCGCTGCATGTAAGTATTAACGCCAGTCTATTCGTTAAAATAAATTAAGAAACATTGCGTAAAAAGTTCTGGGATCATCCCAAAAACTTCTATTTAATCCTATGCTACGGTGATATTTTTTATAAAAATATTTTTTCGACGTTTCCATGGAAACTAGCACAGTCCACCACGAAACGATGCCGTCATCAATGAGTTATACAAATCTCATTAGGTTGCTATGATAAGATCGACTCCTGTGGCATTAAAAAAATCCACAGGAGTCGATCTTGCATCACCGTTTCTTGTGGTTCTCCATTTCACATAACTAAACCTGTTTTTAATGAGTAAGGGTCTTTTCTTTAGGTTACACATAAACTTGTTTTACGATCACCAACCGCAGAATTTCACAACAGTAGTCCAAAACGCCCACTGTGTTTCTCCGAAAACAAAATTTTGAATAATTTCGCAACGTTATTATAATCTCCATCCAAAGCATTATGACGTAACAAGAATTATGCCTCACGCTGTCCCTGCTACTCAGAAAAATATTTTTTATAAAACTATAATGTAAATGTTGAAGTTCATTCCATTTTTTTTTCAGAGCAATAGGCGAGGTTTCCAGTATAAAAAAAAACAATAAAATTATTTAAACGTTTCAATATAGATATGATAAGCCTAAAATTAGTGAAATAGGAAGATTCATAAGTGAAGTTTTTAAGAAATAATGAAACATATGAAATTGTCTGAAATATTACAAAACAAGTCGATATGTAACTCTACGCTTCTAGTGCTAAAGTGCTGAGTTAAGTACAACAAAAGCTTTGATTAAAATATACATTCCAGTCAGACTAATTCCGATAAATTATCATCACGCGAAAATAAATTACCTATTTACCTCTAAAATTTACTATTTAGTCCATTTTTCCTCGCTATTATATTTTTTGGCCCTAACTTCAAAGGGTAAGAATTGAGTAATATTGTAAGTTTTCAAACTTTGCGATTAAATTCATTAAGTAGAGTTTTTTTTTTTTTTGTGCAATAAGCCATTCAATGTTCTTATATCTGTTTTTAAATTTCCTGTAGCTTTTTCTCTGTCCTAAAAGGCTGATGATCATCAATTATCGCTAAAAGTCATCTCTATTGCAAACTTTTCTAGGTAATTTTCGAATACCTAAAGCGGCTTTCAGTTTTCTGTTAACTGTATTTTTATATATTAGTGGGCATTATAAGTTAAATAATAATACAATTAATATATAAATATACCAAGGCCTGACTGTTGCAATCGTACGTTATTAGGCAAACGCGTTGTAGACGACCAAATGGTTTCAACCTTGTAAATACAAACTACATATTGAATTAATTGTATCCTGGTATTTCATAAACAAAAAGCCACTTTAAAATATATTAAACCATCCGTTGAATAATTGTTACTACTAAATTCGTTATTATATTTTGATCAATTTTGAATTTATAATGAAAAATGCTTTGAATTAAGCATTAAAAAATCATTTTTTAAATTATAAATTCATTTTTCAATATAACTGCCAGTTTCAAAGTGAATATTCACTTTGACACTGGCACTCTGAGATAGGAAACGAACCAATGACCTTTCGACCTAACAGGACTGACGAATTTTTCAAGCACTTGTTACTTTTTCGCTATTACAGAGCGTATTATCATCAATGTTCAGGCAATCCACCCAAACAGCCGAAAGAAATCTTTTTACAAATATTTTAAACTTTCGATTAAGTTGACAATTTGTGTCAAATTAATATTATTATTATTTTGAAAAAAATTGCATTCAATGTTAACTAAAAAATATTCTTATATCTTTATAGCCCAAGATTCTCTGAGATGGAATTCGAACCCACGACCTTTATAGTGAAACGTAACTACGAGTACACCGCTTCGTCGAACTCCATTGAGTGGGGTAGTAATAGAAGTTCAGTCTTTACGCGACTTTATACCACCCTCGCCCGCAGGCGCGTTGGCGGTGATGATCGCGGTGCAACGCGAGGCTCGTGGCTTACAGTGTGTGTATACAAAGAGATTTTTTAGTTACAGAACATAAATTCTCCAAATAAATACCAATTAACACAGATGTTAATAAAAAAAACTTATATCTTTTTAAATTACACAACTGGATCTGTGATAAGTAACTGGTTCATAGAGTATAAAACATCGCTTACGAGATGATATTTTTTGGCTAGTTGCACAAAAGTCCGTTAAGGTTTAATGACGCCTTTAAGCCCTAATTAAAGTCAAATTTGTATCGGTAATGCCGCTTTTAACTAACGTCAATTTTAAAGAACTTTTGTGCAACTGGCTGTTTAAACCATACAGCAGATGTTAATGCCGTTTTTGCCAACGTACAGAGTGATTCAAGAGGAAGTTTATATGTATAATACAGGACCACGCGGGCGAACACGCTGGCAGAAAGCTAGTTATAATATTGTTATGTCTTTCTAAACAATAATAAATTAGCCCGTAATAAATTTTTCACATCTCTTGCTTAACAAAGTCCAATTAGTAAAATATTGAGGAAAATAACATAGTATGAAAGTTCCATGTAATACCTACCTATTCAAATACTTACGATGGCTATAAGTCTATTTCTTGTATATGTAGGCTACAGTAATTTTAATACCCTAATTTAGTTACTACTAGCTATGCCCGCGACTACGTCCGCGTGGAAAGACTAAGTTACTTCTCATTACATAGGCTCTGCAAATGAAAGTCCCGTCAAAATATAAAAGACAGACAAAAGATATAATAAATGTTATTTTGGTCTTGAATCACTCTGTATATTGATAAAAACCGCATCAAAAATTACTAAGATCTCAGCGTACAGACAGCAGGAAGTGGCTATTTATACTATGTATAGACAATATCTGTACGAATATATAATTTATGCAAATTAAATACTTTATTATTATTATAATATAAAGTCATATTTTACTTTACACCTCATGAAATATAATTGAAATATTTATGAAACTTTACCTTTCCATAATTGGACTAATTTATTGAAGATAATTTTCAATAAATACAAATTAATATCAACAAATGAATCATTTTTGTAGCACTTTTTATCACCTCACAATTAAATTCCTCTCAGTATGAAGAGTTGAGCATTCAACTCTAAAAAACGCATATACGACGTCTGTGAGGCAAAAACAGCCATTCACTAATTCTGCGCTTATTATATTACCATTAACTTTTATTGAAAAAAAGACTAATTGATTACCAAAAACTGAAAAACAATATGTTGGTTTGAAAACTGTATTGAAACTATAGATATCTAATTGTATTTTCGTTTCTGTTTTGTTTATCTTATTTATTCTAGTTTTCATTACAACACATTTTATAGTCACTTTCTTAAGGGCAAAAATATTTACAATTATTATGAAAGAACTTTGGTTTGTCTATCCAACTTAATCCACAAACACACTTTCAATACACAGTCGCTTAGAATAATCTAGGGTAAGAAATAATTGAGACCGCCCAAATGTCCTTCGTCTCTTTGCCTTTGTTTAATTAGTCGTTCATCAGCTCTCCCGTCGATCCCCAAGCCGAGTCTCTCGATTAATCGTTCAGCTTTATCACCATGTAATTCTACAAACTGCTTTCTTCTTCTCAATGCGACATCAGGATCAAATATCCACTGCGTTTTATCATGAATCACTGGATATCCCACCAAATTAGTGCGGATCAAGTTCACGAGAGGTCCAATAGGATCCCCGCACAGCACCGGCCGAAGCAGTATGCATAAACACAAGGGCCACTGAAATTAAAAAATAAAAAAACTAAAAAGTAATTGAGATTATTTCGCGGAAAGGATTTTCGAAAGGCGCATTAAAAATGTGAGTGGATCATTACGACACTTACAATTAAAATTTTCATTGTTCAACACAAAACAAGACCACTTCGCGTGACTAACTAAACACCACTGGCAAAATCCGACCACGTTGTTTATTGCAACTTTTACATTTAAAAACAGTTCAGGTTACTTCACATGCCTTTAATGTTCGTTGATATCATGTTACAACATCAGAAGGTACACGACTGTGAACGTATTATAAGTCAATGAAGCAACGATGTTCATTTTAATAATTTGCACATTAGCCTTTATTATCACTACTTCACCGATTACTGATACACCGATTGAGTGATTCATTATTTAAAGTTTAGATATTAAGTAGAAAATTAAAAAACAATCAATAGATTAATTCAGGCCGAACGTCGTTACTTTGATTACATCAATAATTCTACGCAATCTTTTACGGTTATTATAACAGATATAATATAAAAACTTTTAACCAATTATAGCAATGATTTCTACAATTTTTTAAATATTAATGTGTTTATATAGGTGTGTATAGCTACCTATTAATCAAAATTTTATTTTATATTCATCGTTTAGAGGTGTGTCATCATCATCATCAGCCCTTTATTTTGTCCCCACTGTAGGGACTCTAGCCTTCCTTAGGGATGATTAAGGAGCATGGGCCATGCTAGCCACGCTGGCCCAATGCGGATTGGCGGATATTAACCACTGCAAATACAGCTGGGACCATCGGCTTAACGTGCCTTCCGATGCAAAGAGTAGCTGGAGATAATATTTTTTCTCACCCATCCCGTGACCAACCTGCTAAGAAATTTTAAATTATCTTTCTTCGGTATGACAATCATTATTTAACCCATTTTTTACTTTAAAATTGAAGACTGATTCGGCAGAGTTAACTTTAAATCTTCCTTATTATGTAAATAACCTCAGAATAAAAACAAAGCATAACCTCTTCTAATAACCAGAGTGGTTGAAAGTTAAAACGCAACTTTTTACTGTAAGATTTGCATTTCCCGCTTCCTCCCTCTCTTTCCATTCGTCGACTGCTTTACCGACACAAACCACGTGACCGAAGACCGGGAAAAATCAATAATTTTGACAACTACCATTGGACATTATTCTATTTATTTTTTTCGTGTATTCAAACAATTCCTGCAGAATGATGCAAGAATACGACGATGATTTCTTTTTCGAAGAGGACAAAATGTAAGAGCGGTTCGTTTGGTGTCGAATTGTTGTGTTTTAGTCCTTATCGGTCCTTATCATTCCTAACTTCCTTTCATTTGTATTGCAGTGTTTAAGTTAGTCGCTGTTAGCTGTTTTAGTTGTTGAATACTATATTTGTTTTGGTGTTTTTTGATGTGGTGTCCAGAAAATTACATCTTTGCCTTCGAAGATCCCAGGATGTATCCGCAACTGAGTGCCTTACACAACATGTTTGAAGATAAAATGTAATGTTTATAATTTTTTTTATTAATAATTATATAAATGTTTAAGTATAAATTACTAAATAGTTCGTTCGTATATTATCAAAAGTACGATGCAAATCACAACGGCTACCGAAATTATTGTTTGTGTGTTACAAAGGTTCCATAAAAAGGGTAAGTTTATGAGCGTTTCCTATTTATTAACCAATACAAAAACCACCACCACTAAGCCATCTGTTTTGGTTAGCATTAATGTATCCGTTTTCCCTGTGATAATGTAGTTCAAACTTATTTATACAATATTTACCTATATTATGTTTATTTTCTATAGCCAAACTGAGGAGAAAAATGATTTAAATTCCAAACTACTTTTAGCAGTCGATGACAGGTAAGATTTAACTATGATTTCGTTAATTACGCACTATTTCTTTTTGTGGCTTAATTAATTTTTCAAGTCGTTTAATTTTATTTATGATTCTCTCAGTGTTTCGACCAATATCGAAGAAATCGTAAAAATAGAAGGTGAAGAAACTATAGAACAGTGAGTTAATTTTTAATGTCTTAAACCGATATAAACGTATATTTAAAAGCTATCCTAAAGATTCGAATACACTTTAGTCAAAATTATTTACCATGGTATTGTTTTATTTATAATTTTTTATACATACTTTAAATTAGAATCTTTTAATCCAACTTTCACATTGAATTACTAATACCTCAACTCCTAATTCACTTGTAAATTTCATATACACGTTCTTTTACAATTACATTTCATAGACAACCAAAGCAGAATGAAATACAAACAACGGACTGCATATTCAATGATTTACGTCAAGAGAGGTACACAATTCGCCACCAAGATCTCATGTGAGTAATTTTTAAATTATATTTAGTATTTAACTGAATTAATATTAGTTATAGACAGCCAGCGCCCAGTTAGATAATGTCTAGCTAGAATACACTTTCATTACGCTAGTAATCAGAACAGGATTAGCCACATAATAAAAGTAGCAAATTCTACGGGCCCTGCCCATTTTGGGCGCGCAATAGGAGCCCCGCTATTGTTCAAAGCCAATAAATTATATATTTGCTACAACCCCGCTCTGTCTTAATTCGGCACTGCTGGTAATCTTACTAGCCCATCTGCGTTCCGTAATTCACTGCACGTTTGTAAGATCATTTAAACTTTAATTGCGTTTTGGCTCATATATTAAAGCCTCTTCATAATATATTATTTAATCAATGAAGCGTTTTAAGCACTTCGTCAATAAAACAGGCATATTATACTAGCGATTAATATTTACATTAAAATATCTGCTCTTAAAACAAGAAAAATTTTAACGAAATAAAAATAATTCATTTATTATATTTGAACAATTTTGCATCCACATCTATACTGAAAAATATTCTTAATGAAAAATGCTTGTTGGGTGGCAATCCACTCATCCTGAACATTGATGAAAATACGCTCTGTGATAGCGAAAAAGTAACAAGTGCTTGAAAAATTCGTCAGTCCTGTTAGGTCCTGGGTAGCTCAGCAATTAGAGCAGTCGCCCAGATTGCGAAAGGTCTTGAGTTCGAGTCCCATATCAGAGTCCCAGGCACAAAGTGGATTTCTTGAGCATTATTCATTAAGAATAAAATTTTTCATATCAACATTAATAAAAGATTTCAAACATTTGTATTTTATAATTAGATCAATGTTGTTTTCTTTTCAGATGACGCTAGAGGTAGAGAACGCTAGCTAGCTATAACAACACTGCTAGTAACGGCACAGTAGTGCTAGTAATAACATTAATAAAATAAATAATCATTTTTAAAACATAAGTGTGTTTCATTTTTTTCTTAGATTATCTAGCTTGTGTGCGATAAATATATTTTTTTTGTTTGACGTCAAATCTTCCTTTATGGTTTAAATAGCAGTTTTGGATGAGAGCTTCTAAATAATATTATCTTGTACTAAGTATTGGTATGATCCCAGAAAATGGGTCTGGATTATGTATTTTCACGTCGATTCTCACTAATCGAATTCATAAGATATTATAAAGTAGATGGTCAAATTTTTATACCTTTACATTTACGAATTTAAATTTAATAGCATTAAATAATTATCTCTCTTGATATTGAACTTCAATAACGTAAACTCGGACTAAGCCCGCTAGAGATTATCGAAAAATTTCACTTCAAAATTTTCACTTACTGTTCATTAATTTTTTTTTTAATAAATTGTAACAATTATTATTGATTACATCAAAAAGAAAGTCAGACAGACCCTAAAGAAATATCAAGACTGTGTTATGAATGCAAAGTCTATCTACATTAATATATCGCGTTACTTTTCAGGGGTATGACAGTAACGTCGGGAAGCGTAGCACTAAGTAAAGATGAGAAAAATTTAATAGGAATAAGTATAGGAGGCGGTGCGCCTCTTTGCCCGTGCCTATATATAGTACAGGTAAATATGTTTGATACAGAAAAATATTTATTTATTTTATTTATTTGCTTTATTTAAATAAGACAATATATCTTTTACTGTCTGAAGAAATAGGATAATTTGGATTATTTCTAATATTTATATAAAACAATATATTTTTATATTAATAAAAAGTAAAAAATGCCAAAACTAACAACCGAAATTGCTCACCACTCATCTTAGTAAGAACGTTCCCGATTATCGAGATTTTGTAGACACTTATTAAGGAAAACGGTTTTCTTTTTGATTAATCGTTACGAACCTGTTTAACTACCATATACTTAGTAAGGTATCATTATCATTATTGTACACATATCATATGGTGTTGACGACTGTACCAAAGAAAGGACATTCAAAACGCTAATCGAACTAATGACAGAATCTAATCGAAGACACTTTCACATTGTAGCCTATTTGGTTAGACTAAGCCATTGTTTGATGTCCTTAAGGACAGGATGCATAAAATCTCTTGACTGCAACATGAAGTGAGTAAGAATATTTATTTTAAAAACGACTGTTTTACTTTACTTTTACTGTCTACAGAATAACTGTAAATATATTATAATTTTTGCCTGCAGATATTTGACAATACACCAGCTTCTAGAGATGGAACGTTGCAGAGCGGCGATGAATTGGTCGGTGTTAATGGACAATCTGTGAAAGGGAAAACCAAAGTAGAAGTAGCCAAGATGATACAAGCAGCAAAAGTACGTATTTATATCATAACATCGAATCTTTGCAGACTAGAGACGACAGAATGGGAAGCCACGGTCTTTACACTCTTCTTTTATATACAGCAGTTACAATTATCGACAACATAGTGGATCACTCACTTCTACTTCTTCATTCTTCATCCTACGTTCAAAGTGTATCGTTAAGTTGTATCGTGTAGTTCTTGTGTCCGATATTGCCCGAACCAAAGAAGTTAACTTTTGAGTTAAGATAGTATCAATCTTTCAGACCCAATTCTCTTTCTTACATTTTCGTCAATAACACAGACGCAAAACACTTACATCTCAATTTTGTTTTTTGTATTACAATGTCTGACTTACCCTACATTTACTTCTGTGTTGAATTAGAAGTGGTTTTGCCAGATTAGAGACTGAGTAAAAGTTGAATGGTACAAATAGGTATCATCACCTTGCAATAATGATATTTTTTTACAGGACGAAGTGACTATTAATTATAACAAACTTCATGCTGACCCAAAGCAAGGAAAATCTCTAGACATAATAATGAAAAAAATGAAGCATAGATTAGTAGAGAATATGTCTTCAGGGGCAGCTGACGCCCTGGGACTGTCTAGAGCTATACTATGTAATGATACACTCGTAGCCAAGCTGGACGAACTGAGAGATACAGAAACTACTTATAAAAGACTCGTAGAAAATGCTAAAAGGTAGGATATAAGATCATTTTAGATATCTTTGTAGGTAGAAGAATTATCAAATTTAATAAAAATCTCTAGATACTCTAGAAAACCATTTGAATGAAATATTGATAGATACAACATACGTTATATCTATCAATAATACGAATCAATAGAGGTAAAACAAGAATTTAAAAGTGCAATATAAAAATATATTTATCGAAAAAAACTCACTGGTATCTATAGAATAATTCGTAGATCATCAGTTAGATAAACATGCAGCTAATATAAAAACCTCTTTTTAAGTGTTAAAAAATTTAGGAAACATTTTCTTTAACCTAAGCCTGTTAATGCCCCTTTGTTGGAGAACCTTCAGAATCAGACTGCGTGTTGATTGATAACTGCTAGCGACTGCGACTGCAATCAAAGGTTGCAAGGATCAATGGTGCCACTAATGATAATAATGGGAGAAAATGCTCGAGCTCTGACCTAATTTATATCTCGTGTTTACTTACCACGTTGTTAGTTGGGAATCTGTTAATTGTACTTTATATTTATTTATATTTGTAGGATGTTAAAAGCTTACTTCGACTTGATACAAACGTACAAGTCGTTAGGAGACATTTTCGCCGCTATTGGTGTGAGGGAGCCACAAGCGCGCGCCTCTGAAGCCTTCAGTAAATTCGGTCAATATCATCGTGAATTGGAGAGAGATGGCATCAAGATGCTGAAAGCTTTAAAGCCGGTATGAAACGAAATAATTTGATATTATAAATTAATCATATTATAATAATAATCATTTATTCTCTCAACACAAAATTAAGTACTTACATGTTAGTCTTAAGGTTCTTAAAACATTTTACATCTAAATTTTGTGAGAGACTGGAGCACGAAATTGGTTTCAGTAGAAACCTCTGTGACAGCTCACCAGGATCTCCCCACAGATAAAATATAACATAAATAAAGAATCAATACAAAAGAGAATGCAGATGCATTATAAATTAGTCTCTTAAAATACTGTGTTAAATCTAGCGGTACAATGAAATTAATTGGTCCCAAATAAAATGTTTACAATTTATATGTCAGAAAAAATTAAATAAACAAATAAAATATTACTTATATTAATAGAATAATATAAAAACGTACAATGACAATGTCAACCCCATCACATTACTTATAAAGCGAATAATAAATTGTAATCCCTATTTACTATGAAAAATCTTTCTTAATTTTCAATGCTTAAACAGATTGAATTTTAATCCATTTTTGTGTATATAATTTGAATTTAAAAACACATTTAACCCTTACAGATATTATCAGACATGGGCACTTATCTCAATAAAGCTATACCGGACACAAAGTTAACTATACGAAAATACGCAGATACAAAGTTTGAGTATCTCTCATACTGTTTGAAAGTGAAAGAGATGGACGACGAAGAGTACGGTTACAACGCACTACAGGAGCCCCTGTACAGAGTGGAAACTGGGAATTATGAATACAGGTAAAATACAATACGGCACTATTTATGTGATATTTATTTGTTGTATACCTAATAGCAAAGATTGCTCTTATAATTATAAAAGCTAAATTTACTATTGTAACTTGATGTAACATTTTAATGGCCTATTAAAGCTCCCAAAAATGATATAAAAACTCTTATAATCTATTTGCAATTATTGTTACATTACATCACAAATGCTATGATAATTACATGATATTACTTCAAATGTGAAGAAAGCTTCTAATTCTTCTTCACAAAACTAAATGCCAAGCCATACAGATATATAATATTTTTAGTGGGAGTAGTTAAAGTGTGTCATACTCATTTTAACTATTATATGTGTGTATTTAATAGCATATTTTTGTGCGTATTTTTGTGTCCATTACAAACTGATAGCATAATTTTCACCATTCACGCTTGTTAACTAGCTAGATTTAATAAATCATATTGATTTTATTTGGTCTTCTTCTATAGCAAACTTCTTAGCGATCACTTCCTAAATGTTTATATAATATAAATAAAATTAAAAAATATATCTCTTCTAGAATTCTCTTTACAGCCGATTATTATCTTTCAATATTCATCGCCTTCCTGGTAACATGTATTCCTTCCAGTGGCGAATTTACATATACCACAATAGGCTATTAAAATAATGCCATCCCTTTCCTAGTCTCCACAAAAGTTAGTTTTTATTTAAGTACATTCAATCTTTGCATCACAATCAACATTGATTTTAATTTTGTAAATGTAACCTTTAACAAACATACTATTAATTTTTTTATTCATCTAGACAAATCAACTAGACGCTTAGCAAACGATTATGTCACTCACAATAAGACGTGACCATGCAAATTGGTAAAAGTGGTGAAACATAATAATGTTAGATTACTTACGTGGACCTACTAAGATTCAGCTACATGATGAATCTTTTGACACTCTTAGACAAGAAAATTTGGCACCAAATCCACTGTCAAATCTGCCGACCTTAACCTATAGCCTACTCAGCTGCTAAATCGCCAATATCTCTTTAATACAAACGCTTTATACTTATATGTGTAAACAAGATCTCAAACATTAACTATGTACACTTTTATATGTACTAGACCACTCCTTTTCATTAATACTGTCCTTACCGAAGCAAGCGATTTCCTTTTAGACTTCACTAGCACTCCACCATGAGCGTGTAGGCGTAAAATAGTGTTCATAAGTTTGAGCACTTGTTAATACATTTGTACCGAAATCCTTTGTATTGTAAAGTTAGTCGGACGTAAGTGTCCCAATAAAATGCGCACATCGCGATAGAAAAAAATGGAACACGCATTTTACTTAATCCCTGCTCCATAATGTTTTAATGAAGTGCGTGCGCTGCCACCGTAAGCTTTGTACCACTATACAATTCCTGACTATCCATATCCTGCCCCCTAATTGTCTAATTTTAAATCTATTGTAATCGCTTTCAGTTTGAAAGATGTTGCACAACCATTGCTTGTTTCTGAAGACAGTTGAAAAAAAAGTATTTGTATTATGCAGCAATGGTTGTGCAACACCTTTCAAACTGAAAGCGATTGCAATAGATTTAAAATTAGACAATTAGGGGGCAGGTCCTCAAAAAGGGAGTATTTCGTAAAATGACCCAGCGTTAGATATCTCTTTAACTCGTGCTTAAACATATTGTAGGTAATTGCGCTCGCACAGATACATCTAGCCAATTTTGTCATAGTTAGGTAAGCCTAAAATGTCATCGATATCTGTCAGTAGGCACATAGGTCAACGTACAAAATTCTCTCTGTTTGGTGACTGAACTATAGATGCGAGAATTAACTGTGTGATTCCCTTTGTAGTTGGTGGATGTGTATTTAACTAGTGTTACTGTTGAAAAACTAAATCTGTACTGTTATAATCAGTAGGACTAAATAATAATATTATTTGGGCGAAGATGAAATTGTAGCAATGCAATTGAAGTCACGGTAAAGACTTATGGAAATATATTTCAGGCTCATATTACGTTGCCGGCAAGAAGCAAGAGCAAGGTTCGCTCGCTTGCGTTCAGATGTGCTAGTAAAGTTGGAACTGTTGGAAAATAAGAAGACACAAGATGTCGCCTACCAACTTAGGAGGTTTATAAAAGGACTAGCTGTCTATCATAAGTAAGGAAAATTACACGTATCACTCTAGCTACTTGAAAATAATTCGTTTAGAAACACTGGTCAATTATTTCTATTTTCTTGGATACTACATCTATCTAATCCAACAACGATGCCTACTACACTTAAATGTGTGTCCAGTAATTGCTTAATTTATATAGGTGGTTAGGATATTATTTCTAATTTCACAAAACTCTGAGTATCCTAGCAATATATGTGGCTTGAATTAAAAAATAAAACTAGCTTATGTTATATATATAACAAAATGTAATTACTATAAAGGCAGCCAAATCAAACAAAAGTACTAAAATTTTCATTTTAACTAAATCTGAAGAAGTCATATTGCGAAAATCTTAAATTTTTGGCCAAGTAACTTTGTTAATAACAATTTTTAGTAAGATTGTGATTATAATGAATTTGAATTTATTTAAAGTGATACGGCAGAACATCTCAAGGAAAATTCTGCACTGTTCCCTGTGGAAGTGGACTTGTCCCAAAACGCCTTCCAGTACAAATCTACAACACAAATTATACAGGTAGGTGAAACAGCTTTAAAAAATATATGTCACCAAAATATTTTATTAATTTTGGTGACATATATTTTTCTGTTAAGATACCAAAAATCATAAGAAACAAAATACGCAAGTTTTTGTTTTCTTTCATGATATAAATATGTCGTCAAATCGTCACTCACATTTTTTTTTTTGCTAGGCAGAACGCTTCCACTTATTTTGTTATTAAGATCAAAATACCCTGTACAAAGTATCTGGAATACAAGATACAAAATACTTTTAAATTAAGTATTTCAGATACCAGATACAAAATACTTTCGAGAAAAGTATTTGAAATACTAGATACAAAATAGGTATCTTATAGATACTTTTTATAAATACAAATACTTTTCTAAAAAAAGATTTGAATTTAAGTTTGTTTATTAAAGACCACAAAAACCTAAATCTTAGACCAGATGGTTCCAGGGACAAAGTGGATTTTTTAAGCATTTTTCATTAGAAACAATTTTTGTAAGCTTTTATTTGGTTTCACCTGTGTTTGTACTCAAATCTTACAAGCTAAATTTCACCCACTTTTCCTCCGTTTTATTTGTTTGTCAATCACAATGTAACATATAAAAATGCAAATATTTATTTTAAATTTTTTAGTTCCTTTTAATAATATTTTTTTTCAATATAGCATTGTGAATGAAAAATTGCTGAAATATAACAACAAGAATAATTATTTAAATTTAATTATAAAATTATTATTTATTTAAAAAGCTGGTTTTACGTACGACGTAAAATTACGGAGAACTGAAAATTCATTTTTTCCTAGTGAGATGAAGAGAGTGGGTAAAAATATAGTTTGATTTTAAATGGCTAGTACAGCAGAACGGCAATTACATAGGTAAAGACCTAATATTAAGACAGGACTCCGCCCATTTTTTTGTTGTTTCTCAATAAAGATCCCTTGAATTAAATGGTTACTTATTAGAGCAAAATCTACTATACGATTACATCACAGATTGTGTTGTATTTTTGAAAAATAAAGGAGTATTAATTGACGATGTAAAAGAAATTATTTGAAGAATTTTTTCTATTAACAAATTTATTTTTATGACGAATTAGTTGGAAAGCAGTGGGTAATTATTTTCAATATATGCAATGACAGCACTCGTTTCCGAACTACTGAAGATTTGTCAGTATTTTTGTTATTATGCCTCATAATGCGAATATTGATTTTTTTTTTCGCTCATGAATATGCAGTGGTCAAAAGATAGAAAAAGATTAACTGTTGAGTCAATAAAATCAATATTGCTTTGCTCATGGGATATAATTTCAAGCATTTGCCATGTATCGAATTTCACAGTGAAATTTCTTTCAAAATAAACTTTTTGAATGCTGTTGTTAGTGGAAAAAGTATAATGTGCAAAAAAATAATAAAATTTAATAATGAGTTTAATTGATATACTGAGTTTTATTTATAGCACATAACCGGGTTTTTACATAAATCAAATTGTTATTCGATTTCAAGCCCTATGCGCCATCTATCAATTTTTACTAGGGAGGGTGTATTACACCGGTATAACCGTACGTTCAGTTCTACGCATTTACTTTTTAAATGACACCAAACAATGTTTGGATTCGAGTTATTTTCAATTAAATATTCATTGTGTTGATAATTGAACACTTTCTTTTTGTAAATATGTATGTTTTAGGCAAAGAATGTTTTGTGATATATATAAAATGTAAGAAATAATCTTTTTATAAAGTATTTTATCAGAAAAAGTATTTAAAAGACACTAAGATACTAAACAAAAGTATTTAAATACAAGATACAAAATACTTCCTAAAAAAAGTATTTTAGATACAAGATGAAAATACGTATTTTGTATCTTGTATCTGTATTTCAAATACTTGTATCTAAGATAAGTGGGAATTGGATTATAATTCGTTCCCTCATTGTATTTCTATCGGAAAGAAGTACCAAAACTAATTTTGATGGTTGTCACCATCAAAATTAGTTTTGGGACTTCTTTGACAATGGTTTTTTAAACAGGATCATCCGGAAGATGAAGATGAAATAGAATACGCCAAAGAAATACATGAATACCATGACCTACCTGACACTGAGAGGGAACCTAAAGTTGTTAACAGAAGACAGAACAAAGATAAAGATGAAGACACCACAGAGCAACTGTTGCCTGGTCTTGAAAGCTCTGACGTCCTAGATAGTGCTGTCAAACTGGACAATGTCGACAATTTAACACTTTTGACAGAACTAGGCCTTGCTGATACTAATATGCCGCTAGACAGCGATTTTGGCGAATTTCAAAATGGAGCGATGGATGCCTTTCTGCCAAATACTAGTAATGATGATGTTTTTGATAAACTGTTGAGTGAGCTCGATATTGGAAAATAGGCTCTAATGTTTAATGTGTGCTTTAATTAAATTATTTACTCTGTTGATAAAACCGTTTCTTTTTTATCTACTAGCAACCCAACAAATGTCACCTTGTAAAGTATTTAACACCTATTACCTATTACAATTAAAATAATAAAAAGCTTGATTTTATCATTCAACTGTGTAGTCACACTTTGTAGTTAACAGTATGATATGACAACCAAAAATTACCTCAATTTCAGGGTACTACAAGCATCAATATAAGAAGGTGTAAATATGAGAAATGATAATACCTCCCAATTTATTAAACTAAATATAAACTTTTAAACATGTGGTGATTTTAAATAAGAGTCCGCTCTAAGAACACATCTTAAACCCTTATTTCCCTTTCTATGTAACAAAACGAACGAAAAATACTAGCTGCTTAAATTACTTTTTTTCCTAGAACAAAGTCTAGTGGAACAGTTTTTCGAATTTCACTAGTGCTTGTTAGCCTACATGGAATTTATTTTATTTTATTTTTTTTTTATTTTATACAATATACACGATATAAATTTGGTTTTATCTTGGTCTAGCCAAATTCTCACTGTGATCATTCCCTTCATATATTTTATGATTCCTCACAATGTCCATATTCTTTTAATCTTCCTCTGCACCATTCATCGATATTCATGTCTATCATCTGCCTTGTAACACGTGTTTCATGTCTTCTCATAACAATTTCTTTTCCAAGCCAGATGATTCCATTTCATCCTTCCTATCTTATTTGGATATGTGAGAAATAAAACCGTATGCAAAAACAATATTTATTACACTTTATCAAGGTTCAATATGGCTGTATATCCAATCAGTATATTCGTAGACTTTCGTGTAAACAGCGGGCACGTCTTCGATACCGCAAACTACGGAACCGAAACTTATTATGCCTATGACTTCGAAGATACCAACTTTTTTGAACATCAAGGGTCCTCCAGAGTCACCTTTGCAAGAATCTTTTCCTATTTCACCGCCTGCGCATAGCTGACCTTTCCAAAGTGATGCTTTTCGCTTAGGAATTCTATAAGCTTCCCGGCATGTCTGAAATAATGCAATTTATTATTTTAAATAAAAAGCAACTACCTTATGTGCTAATCAAACACGCACCTGCTAAAAACTTATATCTAATTACTTGACCAACGATCTTTTTCCGAACCTAATATCATAAAGGAGAAAAATTTTATTGGTTGTTTGTTTGTTTTCATTCGATAGGCTCCGAAACTGGATCTATTCCAAAAATTAATTAATTGAGCTGATTATTTACTTACACAGAAGGGACGTTGGGGAAACCTTAGAGTAAGTTCATAGTCTATGAATAATAATAAATAAGCAAGTCATTCGAATCGAGAAATAAAATTATTCAGCCATGTTGTTATCTTTTAAGGATATATAAAATAAGCGCAATTTTGACGTCAAGTTACGGAGACGCTTGTACAAAGAAGAATATGTATAAAGAAGAATATGGTATGTATCTTTGTTATTTATCTACACAACCCATTGAAATAAAAAATACAAATAAATTTATCAAATCACCTCTAGGTCAACAAAGGGCACGCTTACGTGAACTTTAAATGGACTCTGCAAATGTGTTGAGTTTATTTTACCCCAACCAGCGACATGTAAACTTAAATGCTGCGGGTAATTCATTGTATAATCTAAAGTCGGCAAACATATTGGTCTGATGAAATCTGAAAACGGAGATGATCAATTAAAATTAATGCTTCTAAAAATTTGTTCCGTTTCTGAAAGTAAGACTGAAAAAGAGTTATGAGTGGGTGATAAGAAAAACAATATAAGACATATATATATTAAATATATATTTAATATGAGTTTACACTTTTGCTCACCTGTAAAAGGAGCTAATTGCTTCATCTTTATTAAAGCAATGTCATTTCTTCGTGTTGAATTATTGTATTCTGGATGAAAGATTATTTTTTCTATAGGTATTGATATAGTTTCGTCATTACAGTCTGTGTAGTCGGACAATATGGGTCGACAGTCAATCTTTGTGGTAGTGTCATGTTCTCCGAGACGGACGCTTACACTAGAACAAGCCGCAAAGATTTTTCTACAAGCATTAACTTAGGTGCAGCTATTATTAACAATAGATTGAAAAACGCTGTTTAATCTACAGAAATTAAAATTAAAGCTTGAGATTATACTAGTAACCATTCCTAAGGCTTTGCACAAGTATAATTTTCATGTAAGCGGAATCGCAGTTGGCACAGTTTTATATATCAGAATATTACCTTTAATGTACAGTAATGGAGGTAAAAAATAAACAACTCACGGGGTTCCAATTTCAAGTACTTTCCCGACAACACAATGTGCTGCGGTAAGCACATACTTCCCACTGATTAAAGCACCACCACATAACATTCTAATCCGTTCGCCCTGTTGGTATTCGATTATAGCTAGCCAAGGATAATCTGTTATTTTTGCTTCTATACCACCTGCAAATATAATTTAATTGAATTAATGAATGAATTGTTTATTGGAAACAAACATTACAACAAATAATTTAATTATCTTTCTTACAAATTGAAAACCCGATGAAAGTAGGCAGAACTAAAAGATACATACATATATACAAAATAAGTTTTGTAATAAGAGAAGGAGAAAACTTACCAGCAATGATCTTGTCACTCGCACTTGAATCGATACCGCAGCATCTGCTTTTTTGGTTCGGTGGAAAAGAAGAAACTTTTGATGAACAGTACTGTCCTACACTATCAGTCATGGACAATGGACAACAGACACTGTCTGTGCCTAGGCACCTGAAAATGAAGTTTATTATAGATATAAAAAAATAACCGTCTGTTTTTATTTTATTTTAGAAATTTGGCGAAATTGGCAACTGCCTAGGGCTCTCTATTTAAACCTTAAAAATACAGCACCATAAAAAGAACTGAATTTTGTTATTTGAACATGTGTCCATGCCCGCGGTATTCAAAAGCACAAAATTTATCTAAACAGATCTAAGCAGTACCTAAAGTATATCTTTTATCATTGGAAAAATTACACTCTTTATCGTGGTCTACCAGTTTTGACAACATTTCCCGTGTCTTTAAAGCATCGCTAAAGGCGAATCTTAGAATTGCATACAAACAATAAAAGAGATGCACAATGCTGACGTGTTGTCGTAGAGCACAAATGTTATTTTGACCTTTGCAGCCTATGCATTAGATAATAATTTGCAACAACAAATAGTCTTCACAATATTTCATAAATTTAAAATTTAAGTAGGTCACTTCAAAGTGGAAACTATTTTGTTACGAAAACTCTTTTACTGAAAAAGAATATATCACTTGACAATTCATGTCAAATATTTTCTCGGCATTTTCCGTAGGTATTTTCCTAATTAATTTACACTACAATGCCCCGAAATTTATCCATTAACGAAAGAGCACAAATAATCGCATTACACAATGATGGTTTGAATATTAGTGAGATTTCTAGAGAATTAAATGTGTCGGTAAGTATTATTATGTCTGACGTGAGTTTAATGTAAAATCTCAGACCAAGTCCGAGTGTAAAATTTTTTTTTTATTTTTTCTGTTCATATTTTATTTTTGATTATAGAGACAAGCTGTCCGTCTTTGGATAAGACGAGAAAGCGAGGAGGGGAATTTGAACGCTCGGAGTCGTAGCGGTCGTAGACCTGAAATATCAGATACTCAGCGAGTCTTCATGAGACGGAGTTATGAGGAATCTGGCTTTATACCAACGCGTTATTTTGCCGACATATTTGACGTGACTCTCCAAACCATTAGAAACCATTTACATTACATGGGCTTACATCACAGGCGTTATGCAAAGAAAATTTATATGACTGACGCTCATAGAATGGCCAGATTAAATTTCGCCATAGAATATTTGGATTTTGATTGGAGTAACACTGTTTTCTGTGACGAGAAAACTTTTAAATCCAGTCAACACGGGCGTCTACACCTTTGGCGATTCAATAAAACGCGATACACGCAAAATCATGTCGTGCCAAATAGAGAATCGGGTCGTATCTCGGTAAATTTGTATGGATGGATGACTGCTGATGGTGTTGGAGACTTGACCTTTTTGCCACCACGAGCAACGGCATCAGATTATGTTGATGTTCTCCAAAATGCTATGTTGCCATCCGTCCGGAACGTTTATCCAGAAAATGAAATGCGTCAATTTAATTATTTACAGGATAACTGTCCCTTACATAAAGCAAGGGTAACACGTGCTTGGTTTGATGCACATCCGGAAATAAACTTGATACCATGGCCTGCAAAATCGCCAGATCTCAACCCTATTGAAAATATGTGGGGTCTTATGGTTCAGAGATGGTGTAACCGTAATGAACGAACAGCAGAAGCACTACAAGGGCACTGCAATGAGGTTTGGGAGGAAACACGTGGGTCTGATATCTGCTCAAGACTGGTGGGCTCGATGAGGGAACGTCTCCAAGCTGTTATAGAGGCAGATGGCGGCTACACAAGATTTTAAGAATTATAATTTTATAAAAGAATTGTATATATTTTTTAACAACCAAAGAATTAGCATTTTCACTATCTCTTCTAGTTTTAGCCCTTGTCTCGCACTAAGCTATGGGTCGGCGCAATATGTTTTTCGTCGCTATTCATTTCTGTTATCCGTTATCTCAGTATATTCAGACCTATAACACGCATAGCTTCTTACGCATAGCATTTCACTACCTACTGATTTTTTTTATTTGTATTAAAATATAATTAATCTACATTCTAATGTAGGATATTTGTAGACTATAAGACTTTATTTACGATATTCTAACTCTAAAGTATTTAAACATACAAACAGACAGACAGAAAAAAAAATATTTTTGGCTTCTATTAGTCTTATGAAGGCCGTCCATATATTTTTTTTCCAAAATATCTTACAAATGTAACCTTGTTACATTTTTATTATAGGTATAGATAATTACTGTCAAAGGTTACGTCAAAATGATGAAGATAGCAATAATGACGTGTACTTGACGTGTCAAAAAATTAATGCTACGGAAAATCAACCTTGTTGTTAGTTGACGTAACACGCGAAATTCAACCTTAGGGTGGTAGACCACTTTCTTGGCCGACTGTACGTACCTACATTAGTCTTTTATTTTGTATTAGGCGTCGTTACAATGTCTTCTTGCCTAGGGCGCCAAATTCAAGTGTTTTGCCTAAGAGGCCAAGTTTCATTGAGCCGGCTCTCTTAGTTCTGACGTTCCAATACACATTATCCGTCCACGTGGGGTACAACGCAGAACGTTTTACCAGGTATGCCATCCACAGTTTTGATCTACCCCGTGGCGAAGAGCCCTGGTTTGAGAATAAAGGTGCGTTTCTTCTATGTCAAAAAAAAAGTTGTGTTGTTCCGCGCCCGATGATATGCAAGTACATCATGCATCATCTGTCAGATATGCGCTGACCGTCTCTAAAATTTACAACTTCAATCAAGGTCTCATTGTTTGACCAAGATTTCATCAATACTTATTGAATGTACTGCTATCATTTAAATCTACGTTTATTAACTTACTCAGACGAGCAGACAATCTATATCTATACTACAAATAATAAAACTGAAGAGTTAGTTTGTTTTGTTTGGTTGAACTTAGTAATCTCAGGAA